GCAAAGACCCCAAAGTATGCTAAACTCTTTATGAAAAAACAAGCACCTTCATATATTGCTGGTGAAGGTATACGCTGGCACAGCCTCTAAGGGAAGCAATTTGGCAATACCTATTAAAATTTCAAATCTATATACTTCCTGACTCAGCAAGTCCAGTTTTAATATTTTAGTGTTTGATTCATTAACACAAATATTATTCATTACACAGTGTATTTTAATAAACTAAAGCATCTGCACACAATAAGTACTACATACATACTATTAAAAAAAGAACAAGGTGAAGAATAGCTTAAATAATATGTTATCATTGAGTAAAAAGGGATGGGATAAAGAAAAAGAATATTTCCCTCTGTTGATTTGTATGTATATATTATTTCTGGAAAGAAAAACAAGAAATTGATTAGCATTGGTTACTTCCAGGGACAAAAACTGAGTGCCTGGTGACAGGAATAAGAAAAAGACTTTTCATTGCATACTCTTCTGTATCGTTTACATTTTGAACCATTTTAACGTGCTACTGATTCATAAATAAGTTAATTAAATAAGCACAACATCTCATGGAAATTAAAGCAGTTTGAAATCAATGGAAAATGAAGTTCTAGATAAGAACTGATTAGAAATGAAGCTCAAGAGGTGGACAGGAGTCAATTCATGAAAGGCCTTGTTCTAGCACACTAAGGATAATAAAGGTTCACCTACAATAATGTTTCTCGAAGTCTGATCTGGGGACCACTTGCAAACGTGGAGAGCTTGTTAAAAATGCAAAGCCCTGGACAAAGCATCAGCAAGCTTAAGGGTATGGTTCAAAGAGGCAGAGTCTGAGAGTTCTCCACAAACTGAATCTTTATATTGAGGGGGATGAGAATAAGGTTCAGGTACCTGCATTCTAACAAATTCCCTGGGTGACTCTATAGGTTATAGGGAGCTTCTGAGGGGTTTTAAGCAGAGGAGTAAAGTGGCCAGATGTTCACTTTGGATAGACCGTTTTGGTTCCTGTGTCTGGAAGATTTGAAAGGAGTGAGGCTCCGTTAGAAGGCTCTCTGGCAGTACTCCAGATCATGTTCTTTAATTTGATAAATACTCATATTGCATACACTACACTCATTGCACATGTGGCAAAAATATTATCTACCCAAGAACTACAACCTAAGCTACACCAGTGTTTTAAGGAAACTGAGTAACGGAAACAAAATCCAACGCACAGCAACTCCCAAATCTGCTAAGAAGGCAATAACTAGGAAGAATGTAAACCAATAATAGAGGGACCACTAAATGAAATTATTCCATCCCGTTAGGAAATTAATTTTTTTTTTTTTTTTTTTTTTGCGGTACGCGGGCCTCTTACTGTTGTGGCCTCTCCCATTGCGGAGCACAGCCTCCCAACGTGCAGGCTCCGCGGCATGTGGGATCTTCCCGCACCGGGGCACGAACCCATGTCCCCTGCATTGGCAGGCGGACTCTGAACCACTGCGCCACCAGGGAAGCCCAGGAAATTAATTTTTTTAAAAAAACTAAAAATGGAAACCATTAAAGGGGGTTGCTTCTGGGGTTGTAAGACTTGGAGTCAGGGCAGAGAAGGGTGGAAACTGCTCATTTTTTATTTGGTATATATTAAAATATTTTGAAATGAAACATTCTCTTTGGCCAATAAGGCATGTTTAATGATGTCAAAACCCTTTCCAATCAGCTTTGATTCACCTAAAGGTCTAGTTTGTGAGTGTCATCGACTCTGTTAATATAAGCTCCACATCCACCAACAGCTACATCACTTATGATGCAAGTAAATTGTAATAACAGTTCAATCAGCCCTTGCCAAGTCTTGAGCCAGTAGATGTAAAATCACTGAGTAGAAATCCTCTATTCACAAGAAAAGTCACTGACAGGTTAGGCGGAAGGGAAATGCAAGAATTAAAAATAAACCAATGTAAAACCAATATGAAAGAGCAAATGAAAGTCAGACTTTCATCCAGTCTGTACATGCTTTATCAGCTAAGAAGTATTTCCTCTAATTGTTTAAGTTGCTACAAAGTTAGAGAACCACAAGGCTTCAGGGTATGAAATTATACTAGCACTCCATCCCTCTTCTTCCATTTGCATTTTAACAAGTGACCTAATAGAGATCTATTTTGCCACAAAACAATCACCACCACCACAGCAAAAGAGAACCCTCTGGTACAAAACTTCAGGTTACCAGGACACCACAGACATAGCCAGCCACGGTGCCAGAAGACTCAAGTAAGCACTTGGCCACTTTCTTTTATATCCGATTCACATGATTCATATACCTTAGTATCTTTTACCCTAGGAAAACAGCAAACAGTATTAATCATCGTGTCATTCCTATTACAGAATTCCATTTTAGAACAACTTCACACAGTCTAGTATTATTTGGTCTGTTCCTGATCTCTGGTCCGGGTTCCACCTAATACTATGCCATTCTGAATACTGGCCTTAACATAAATGATAAAACTCAAATCAGTAAGAAACAAATCCAGTAAAATTTAATTGAAATGATAGCAACAACAACAATTTCAAAACTGTGTTCTACAGTCCAGAAGTTTTACTTCAAAAGTTTTCTTATTCCAAACAGCATACTTAGCAATAGGCAAATATTTACCTATTACAGATTTCTCTTCAGATACTCAGAGTGGGTGTACTAGGTAGCTCGATTTTTAAAGACTTGATTTGCCTTACATTTAAAAAGTTTTGATTAGTGTCAATCTAGTTCAGAGGTCCAAGAATTAATCTAATTCAGATGCCACTCATATTCTTGAGGACTTGTAAAAGTTCTTCAGTTTTAAAATACCAGAAAGGGCCTTGGAGGCTACCTAGTCCAATCCTAGTATTTCACACACTGAACTAGGTGAAAGCACTTTGAAAACGACAGCACAACACAAAAAGTATCGCTGTCACCAAGAAGGCCCACGGAAGTTAAAAGGAAGTTAGCCACAGAGAACCTGGGCCTGGCTCCAAGCTCCTGACCCCGAATCCCAATCAAGTATACTATTTTTACTTGTCGTGAGAGGCTTCCATAAAATCGTATGAAGAACATATTTAGGGGTATATGGCATCCGACAACTTCTAAAAAGCAGGTCTTTAAAATTAGGAGTACAACCCATATGGCACACCTCTTTCCCAAATCAGAAACGCTTGCTCCAATTTTATTCCCTACCTCACCCTCAACTTCACTCCCTAACACAAACTCAACCAGTCCGACCTCCTGCTCCAACTGTTTGCTGATTTACTCTTTAAATGATGCAAATGTTTTCTATAAATTGCTACCTTCAAACACTAGGGAAAAGGAGAGAAACCTGCACCTAGCATGGCCACCCGATGAATACAGGGGCCCTCCTCAATTAACTCATTAAACAGTCAAGAAGTTAAATGCTGAAAACAGTCAGTACTTAAACAAGGATGATTTACAATTTCATTCTGATACCTCCACAAAATATTACCAAAAGATTGCTGATGATTACGAACCAGAAGTTCAGAACAGGCTGTCTACTCTTGCACAGAATTCTACAGGATTATGGTTACAGGCAATTTATTCCAAAGCCTTTTGGTGCAGTGTCAACAATTAGAGATTTCCAATGGAGATTTTTCTGGACATACTGCTCATGGTAGCATCATCACTCTCGTTTCCTTAAAGTGGGTGGAGACATGGGATCAGAAGTTCCAAGAATAAGAGTGAAGGCAGATAATATTCAGGGGTTTTCCCCCCCCTTAGGTGTATTTATATACTTTGCAAAGTATTAGTAAATATCTATACCAAATATAGTCTGTTGTGGAGGCACTACTATATTATATAGACCTAGACGCTGTATTTCATAATTACCCTGTTTACCTGCCTTTTGCCTGGACCTTGCTACTTAACAACATACATTCAAATTTTCCCCGCTGCTCTGCCCAGCACTGGAGACACGTGAGCTTTTGATACAAACTCCTGGAACCTTGTCTGAGAACCACGTTCCAGCGCGGAAAAGGCTCAACCAGACCGGCTCCCCGGAGTGCCCAGGCCTGGCAGTCCTGCCCACTAAAAGGGGGTGTGTCTGCGGTACCATAGCTTCTTTTCCGCTGCCCATAGCGGCGCCCAGGGGCTCCCTTTCCCCCGGGGCGGCCTGCGGAGCGATTCCCAGAACCGCACCCCCAAAGTCACGGCCGAGCCAGTGAGCGAACCAGCGCCGGGCCGAGGCACAAGGGCGGGGGCCGCCGGGACCCACCAACTGCTTCAGGTCCTCCTCAGAGAGCTCCGCGTAACGGTACCGCTGCTGCTCGAACTCGTACCGGGTGGTTTTGGCCACCACCACCACCCGGGACGGGCGGAAGCCGCCGTCGGGGCGGCTGCCACAGCCCGCCAGCTCGCGCGGCTGCCCCTGCCCCAGGTGCCGCCGGCCGCCGCCGTCACCGCCGAGCCGCGGCCGCGCGGCGGGGCCTCCCGCCCCCGGCCCCCTCAGCGCCGCTGCCCGGCCGCCCGCCACGCGACGACAGCTGCCCAGCAGGAAGCCTCTGTAACAAGTCATCGTCGGCCCGGCAGCAGCTGCAGGCCCGGGCTCCCGCCTCCGCTTCCAGCCGCCAGCAGTGCGCGCCGCTCGCGCCGCCCCGGCCTCTACGTTCCAGCCGGGCGGGCAGAGGTTAAGTGCACAGCCGTGCGTGGCCGGCGCCGCAAAGGGGACGTGCCCAGACGTTGACGGGGGCGGGGAAAGCCGGGCGATTGGGAGCCGGGAGAGCCCTCGAGAGGGAAAGGTGGGCGGGGAAAAGCTGGAGGCCTCCAGGTGGTGGGTTGTGTTTGTTTGGGGAGACTTTTCCATCGACGCCTGCGCAGTACGCTTCCCCCGCCCGGGAACCGACCTCCAGCTCCACCCCTTTCCCCCCGCGGTCTCCACCCTCCCCCAGGCCACCTCTTCCAGCCAATCAGAACCCGCAGCGGTTTCGGAGGCTGAGGAGCTTCAGGGATTGGCTGCGGCCGGGGGAAGGGCTGGAATTCTATTTGGTGTTGGAGCTAAACCCAGCTGGAACTGGTCTGAGGCTGCGCCGGCCCTGCGAGTGCGGTTTTAAGGGCTTGGCGGGAACGTGCGTGAGGCCGCAGCTTCTTGCTCGGGGTCAGTCCTTTTTTTCGTTATTGCACATAAGACTAGACTCTTTTCTTATTGCACATAAGACTAGACCCTTTGTTCGTTCATTCAGCCACCTCGTATTGGATGGCTGATATGTCCAGCTCTGGGCCAGGGTTTGAGGAGACGGACTCAGGACCAGCTGCACAATTTGCGGGGCCTAGTGCAAAATGAAAACGCAGCCCCTTGTTCAGAAATTGCTAAGAATTGCAAGAGGGATAGACAGCAGTAAGCCGAGCACCGGGCTCATTTAAGCATGGTACCCTGTGGGATTGCGCAGGTGGTACATCTGCTAACCTCCAAAAAACTATTGGGGTGGAGGGGAGGTGTTAGCCTTTGAGAAAGTTAGAGGATGATGGATAGACGAGTCTGGCCAAGTGGAAAATTTCTAGATGGGAAGCTGTGGTTGAAAAAGTAGATAGGAAAAGAGTGAAGGGTAGAGAATGTTAATAATTTGGACCTTATCCTGTAGGCAGTAGTTAGCCTTTTGAAGGCTTTTAACTGGAATGAAATGAGTCCTGAGAGCAATGTTTGATGACTTGATCTGGTTTTCGAATGTGGAACAAATTGGGAGGCAGGAAGAGGAAGGGAGACTTGGGCGCTGTTGGAATAGTTACTCTTGGATCGAAGCTAGAGTAAAAGTAATGGAAATAGACGAAAATGCTCCTGTTACAAGAGGAGAATCAAATGGCAGTGCACATCCTAATGTTTATCCCTCCTGCTCTTTAGATCCTTTTGCTTTGGCACTCTCTTCGCTTCTTTGTAGTCCGAGCACTATCAATAACTAGCTTTTGGACTTTGGGCAGGTTGCTTCATCTTTCTGGGCCTCAGATTCCTCATCTATAAAGTGAGGGAGTTGAACTAGAGTGATTCCAAGGTTCTGCCAAGCCCAAATTGATTCCAAATCTGTGACTTACTTTTCAGCTAGCCACCAACGCCAGCATTCACTCTTGGGTTCACTGAGTATTTACTGAGTCCCTACTATGTGCCAGGTAGTATATTAGACTGGGAAATACACAGTGCAGTCTGATAGATGTTTGCTTTTAGTAGGTCACTGACCCCTTCTGGCCAGGAACTTTGCCTCACAGGAGCTGCTAACAGTGACTCGTAGTGCACCCTAAAGCACACCTCTTAACTTCTGTGAGATGTGAGTTACTCATTTGTAACTTTGAACATCCTCAAGGTCCTTTCTAGTCTTACTAGTTCAACACTTTATAATTCCTTAGATACTAGGAAGGAAGAAAAGGGAGAAGTCACAGATCACACTGAGCTTTGAAGCTTGGTGACTAAGAGAATGTCAGTTGATCCATTTGACAGAAAAAATGAATTTAGAAAACCTGTTCTGGATCAAAGTCTATGAATTCTGTTATGCATATGCAAAATTTCAGACCCCTTTTCTTCCCATTTCACAGATAAGTACTCAAATTTTTGGATCTCCCCCGTTTCCAGCTACAAACTTGTCTACACTGACATCTCATTTGGTATGTCTCTTTGTCCATTGTTATTTTGGGATCCCATCTCCTTCCACCTGCTCAGAAATATTGCTCCGTCAGGTTATCACCTTTAATATACCTTTAATTATCCCTCTCTATTGGACTTTCCTCTTCACTGTTTAAATATGCTCATGTCTGTGACATCTTTAAATTAAAAAAAAAACGAAAAACCTTTTATGCCCTAGCTTTTATATATTGCTTGTTTTCTCTTTACAGCTAAGATTCTTGAAAGAGTAGTTGGTTCATCATTGGTCAACATCCCTGCTGCCTATTCATCTGTCAACCTGTTGTAATCTAGTTTCTCCGTGCTACTTTACTAATTACTGCTATTTCCATGGTGACCAAGGATGTGATTGTAAACTCAGAAGACATTTATCAGCCCTTAACTGACTTGGTCTTCCTGCAGCATTTGAAATGGTTATCATTTCCTTTTGAAATTTTTTACTCTGGTTCACAGCACACCAGTCCCTAATGGTGGTCCTCCCATCTTTCTGTCCCTTTTCTGGATTCTTCCTAAGCTCATATTTGGGATCTATCCTTCCCTATCCTTGCCGTCCCTTCTCTCTGTCTCTCTGTCTGTCTGTCTCTCTCTTTCTCTCTGTGTCTCTCTCTCTCTGGCTCTCTCTCTCTCTCTCTGTCTCTTTCTCTCTGCAGTCTTCTGCATGAGCTTATCTACTCTTGTGTAATGAGAAGAGCTTGGGTTTGGGATTTAAAAAGACCTTGGTTCAAATCCCAGCTTTACCATTTATTACCTTTGTCAACCTTGGACTGTTCCCTTAATCTTTCTGAGCCTACTTCTTCATTTACAAAATGTAATAGCTTACTTATAAAGCTGTAAATATATGTACAAATGCCTAGCCACATGCCCATTCCAAAGTATACACTTGGCAAATATTAGTCCCTTTCCCCTTCCCTGACTTCAGCTACTACCAGTGTCTTTAGCCCAGACTATCTCCAGAGATTTACATCCTTATTTCTAGCTTCCTGTTGGATAACACCTCTTGAGTCTTATGTATACAACACGTCAATGGAGATCAAATTATATTTGATTGCCTGCTGTGGGCGAAGCACCCTGCTAGGTGTTGGAGATAAAATGGGAAATAAATAAGTAGTCTCTCCCCTTGAAGAACATACAGTCTGTGCAATGATAAAATTATTCACAGAGTGCTATAGGAATTTGGAGGAACAAATCTTCATTCAGCCTAAGTGGAGTTAGGGAAAGCTTTCTGGAAATGTCTCAAGCTAAACCTTAAAGAGTGAGTTAGGTATTAGCCAGAATCAGCAAGAGTAAGAAAGGAATTCCACAGAGGAAACAGTATGAGCAAAGATACGGAGTAATAAAATAGCAGTTCTGAAATCCTAGAACATTTAGAGAGAGGCAGGCAACAGTGGGAGGTGAGGCTAGAGAGGTTGACAGGGAGAAAGACATGAAGTGTTATATCCATGCTTAGGAACTTGGCTTTTATCCTGTATATGCTAGGAAGCCACTGAAAGGAGAGAATGACATGGTTAGCTTTGCAAAAATTATGAACAGAAATTTCTTAGAAGAAACACAAGCAGTGAATACATATCTAAAAGATCCTCAACCTTATTAGAAATCAGAAAAATAGAAATTAAGCTAATAGTGAAGTAGTCTTTTACATCCACTAGATTGGCAGAAATTAAGAAATATTGGTAATCCTCTAACTGTTTGAAAATTATTATATCATCAAGTATTTATTAGGCTAAACATTTGCCAGTTATGTCAATAACTCCTCCAATGCCTTAGTTTCTAAATATCATCTTAGAAATTTCAACTATGTTCAAGTATTCGAGTTAGTCAATTCCAAGTATGATGTCAAAAATTACTCAGTACTGTGGGTATAATTTGGCCATTGCGAAACAAACCAAAGTGTTGGCATTCATGGATTTAATATCAGTTTCAACTACACTCAAACAACTAAAATAATCTGTAGTATTATTATTATTTTAATTTTATATTTATTTTTATTTTTGGCTGTGTTGGGTCTTCGTTTCTGTGCGAGGGCTTTCTCTAGCTGTGGCAAGCGGGGGCCACTCTTCATCGCGGTGCGCGGGCCTCTCACTGTCGTGGCCTCTCTTGTTGCTGAGCACAGGCTCCAGACGCGCAGGCTCAGTAGTTTTGGCTCACGGGCCTAGTTGCTTTGTGGCATGTGGGATCTTCCCAGACCAGGGCTCGAACCTGTGTCCCCTGCATTAGCAGGCAGATTCTCAACCACTGCACCACCAGGGAAGCCCCCAATCTGTAGTATTATTGAATTTCAAACTCAAACCCCACCTGTGACAAGGCTGGTGTTCTTTTCTAGTGAACAAGCCTACCCAGTAGCCACATCTCAAGCAAGCTTAATTGTCCTCAACATTTTATGGGGAAGAGATTATATATCACTGTGATATTCACAACTTGAAGATTTACAAAGGTTACAATCTATCCTTCCCAATCCCTATAACCCCCTCCAGCTCACTTCATGTACATTCTGATTCTGAAAGATATATACGACCAGCCCCTGGCTGTTTTTTTTTTTTTTTTTGCGGTACGCGGGCCTCTCACTGTTGTGGCCTCTCCCGTTGCGGAGCACAGGCTCCGGACGCGCAGGCTCAGCGGCCATGGCTCACGGGCCCAGCCGCTCTGCGGCATGTGGGATCTTCCCGGACCGGGAAGCCCCACCCTCCCTGGCTTTTTAAAAAATGACATGCACGTGCTCTAAGGCCTGTATAGGATATTAGGCCCTGACAACTAAGGGCTCCTGGCTTTGGCAGTAATGGTTGTAAAATATTTTAAGAGAGAACATTTTGCTGGTTTACAATTAAGCTGAATAACTTGGTATAAAAGTACTGTTGATAGAAAAGAATGTTTAGATTATCATAATATATAATCAGATATCATATTAAATATATCTTGTGTATCTTGTGTATTTGGGGAATATTTATCTAAGTAACTTTTAATAAAAGCAGCTTCTGGGACTTCCCTGGTGGCACAGTGGTTAAGAATCCGCCTGCCAATGCAGGGGACACGAGTTTGAGCCCTGGTCTGGGAAGATCCCACATGCTGTGGAGCAACTAAGCCCATGCGCCACAACTACTGAGCCTGCGCTCTAGAGCCCGCAAGCCACAACTACTGAGCCCATGTGCCACAACTACTGAAGCCTGTGCGCCTAGAGCCTGAGCTCTGCAACAAGAGAAGCCACCACAATGAGAAGCCCACACACCGCAATGGAAAGTAGCCCCTGCTCGCGCAACTAGAGAAAGCCCACGCACAGCAACGAAGACCCAATGCAACCAAAAATAAATAAATAAATATATTTATTTAAAATCAGCTTCTATGGAAGAAGACGTATGCTTTGAAATCACCCGCCTAGTAACTTGTGAAAATGAATGTCATTATATGATTGATCACTTCACACTAAAGTGGGGGGGGCAAAGGATATAGAAAAGCCAAAAAGGAGAAGGCTAGATGAAGATATAGGACAAGGAGAAACT